CTGATATTGTACTAAGTGAATAATATAATGTAATATATTGTTTATACATATAATATTTATCATGTCATAATGTAATACAATATAATCCTAATAATATTAAGATATTATAAATATATATTTTATAGGACATGTAATATTACTAATAATATTACAATACAATGGTATAGTACAATAGAGTAACATAAAGTACTGATATTGTACTATGCGAATAATATAATCTATTGTGTGTAAATGCCTCTTGTGAGCCGCTCTGAGTCCCTTTCGGGGTGAGAAGGGCGGCATGGAGGTGTCGTAAATGAATAAATGGTGAGACTCAGAGTTGGAAGAGACTCCAAAGGTCCCCCAGCCCAGGAAGGAGGAGGACACAGCACAAGCCCTCCCGACAGATGTCCACCCAGCCTCTGCTGAGAGGCCTCCCGAGAAGGAGGAGGAGGCCCTGCTGGACCCCCAGGAAAGCCTCCCCGTGGTCCAGGGTGGTCAGGGCAGGAGAGAGTCGGGCGGGGCCCTCGAGGCCATCCATCCCGACCCCCTTCTGTCAAGCAGGAAGGCACCTCCCGATCCCTCCTCGCAGATGGCCATCCATCCAGCTTTGGCTCAAACCCTTCAGGGAAGGAAGGAAGGAAGGAAGGAAGGAAGGAAGGAAGGAAGGAAGGAAAGGAAGGAAGGAAGGAAGGAAGGAAGGGAGCTCCTCCGAACTCCAGGCAGTCTGGGGGGGGGACCCCAAAGGCCACCCATCCTGACCCCATCATCAGGCACAGAGAGAGAGAGAGAGAGAGAAGGGCGGCTGATCAAGGTCGGAAAGAAAGGAAGGAAGAGAAAGAGAGAGAAAGACGGCCCACTCTGGAGTGGGGGGGGGGGGGCAGCCTGGAAGAAGGAGGAGGAAGCCGGGAGAGGCTGCCCGCCTGGCTGCCTGCCTGCGAGCAGAGGCCGAGAAGGAAGGAAGGAAGGGCCACGAGAAGGACCGAGGCCCACCCCACACTCACTCACCTCCTCCGCCTCCTCCTCTCTCCCTCGTCAACAGGCCCGCTCTCTCTCCCCCTCCCTCCTCCGGAAGTGAGCAGCTCACGGGGAAAGGCCTCCTCGCCCGAGCTTCCCCCGCCTCTCTAGGACACGGAGCCCGGCCCCTCTCGCTGGGCTTCCGCCAAGACCAAACATGGCTGCCTCGGGCAGGGCGCCCAGAGAGAGGCGGGGCTTCTTGGCGGCGCTGGCCAGTCAAGAGCAAGAGCGCCTCCTTCCTTCCTTCCTTCTCCTCCAAAGGCTCAGCACCCGCCCGCCAATAGGAATTCGCCTCCCTCTCCCGCGTCACCAGTCTCCGGGCAGAAACTCTCCCGAGCGCTTTCCTCCGCCCTTCCTTCCTTCCTTCCTTCCTTCTTCTGCCACTCCGAGAGAGAGGGAGGGCCTTCCTTCCTTCATCCGCCAATGGGAATGGTCCTCCGCTGGCGGCGTCACCAGTCTCCAGGCAGACCCGGCCTCTGGCGGCTGCTGCTGCTGCTGCCCATTCCTGGCATTCAGAGAGACAGGGAGGGAGGGACACAGACCAGCCTGGAGATGGACCACACTCTCACCCAAGGACCACTCAACGCAATCCGCAAGCCTGCCCCCCTCCCTCCCTCGCTCTCTCTCGGCTTATTGGGCTGGGCTTCTGTTCTGCTCCCAATTCAGTCTCTCCCTCCCCCCCCCCCCCCCCCCCCCCCCAAATACTGCCTTGGTGAGACCACTTTACTTGGAATCCCACCACTGTGTCCACTTCTGGGCACCACAATTGAAGGGAGATGTTGCCTCAGCTCTAAGCTGGAATGTGTCCACAGGAGGACGACTAAAATAATCAAGGGTCGGGAGAACAAGCCCCATGAGGAGCTGCTGAAAGAGCTGGGCTGATTTAGCCTGCAAAAGAGTAGACTGAGAGGAGAGACGATGAAGGACATGTATAACTATGTGACGGGTAGACATAGGGAGGAGGCTTCCTTTCTTCTGCCCTGCAGACTGGAGCCATGGCTTCAAACTACAGGGGGAAAAAGATGTTCCACCTGAACATGAGGAAGAACTTCCTGACTGTGACACCTGTTCAGCAGTGGAACTCTCTGCCCCGTGGTGTGGTGGGGGGAGGCTCCTTCTTTGGAGGCTTTTCAGCAGAGGCTGGGTGGCCATCTGTCGGGGGAGCTTTGAATGCGATTGTCCTGCTTCTTGGCAGAAAGGGGATGGACTGGGTGATGGCCCACCAGGTCTCCTCCATCTCCAGGATTCTGTGATCCTCGGCCATCAGTGGGAGTTTGTCCCCATCCATCCCTCCATCTTTGCTGGGAAGGAGAGACCCAGACCCCCCAGTCTCTCCTGGAATGAGCCCAGGCCTCCTTCTCCCTGACCCACGCCCTCCGCCTGTCCTTCTCCACGGGGTCACGCCCCTTCCTCGGCCCCTCTTCTGGCTTGCCTCAGAGTGGCTGGTCCTTCCCATCGCTGGGCAGAGAGGGGGGGCTGCCCTCACCCGTGCCCCTCTCCTCGTTCCTCACCCAGCATCCCCAGCAAGTCACACCCTGCTCGCGTTAGGATCCCGACCTTTCCCACCTCACTCACCTCTTTCAGTCCCAAGATTCCTGGGCTCTTGGCAAGACCACCACATGGGGTGAAGTGTCCCAACATTCTCCTCTCGCATTTCCAATGTTTACTAGAACTTCCCCCAGACATCGGAGGAAGCCTCTCTGGCATCAAGGAGAGAGAAGAGACGTGGTCAGAAGATTATATTTGGGTGAGAAGGCAAGGCCGAGAGAGGAGGGGGTTCCTCTCCCTGGATGACCCCAAAAAGAGGCCGGAGAGCGACCTGCGGAGGATGCTCTCGCTGGAGATGCTGCTTGGAGCAGAACGGGGCTGGACTCCACAACCCACTGGGTCAAAGGTGTTGTGGCTGAAGGACACCCATCTCCTCCTCCTCCTCCTCCCAGTCAGGTCTGCTTGTGTGTGGATGGGCCAATCCTCATCAGACCATGCAAGATCAACCAACCAAAGAACACCCTATAACGGATCCGGATAAATCAGATCTCACTCGCTGCCACCAAATTATAAAGATCTATTCAGATCACTAATCAATGCTGCCATCAATACTAAGAGCGACCATCAATTGTCAAGGGTTACCCAAATTTTAAAAGGCTTATTTACTTTGAAAGTATGCTTTTGTGATCTTCAAACTTTGAGGCACACTTGAGTCAGGTTTTGATGAACAATAATCAACAAAGTTTATTATTTAGAATGGGTACAAATGCTTCAATATCTTGGCTGTTACAGAAAGTTGTGTCTTAAAAGCGTGATGGTTACAAGAATGGTTCTATCTTTGTTACAAAAGAGACTCTCCTTTCTCCTCTCCGCACAAGAATACTGACAGGATAGTTTGTCTGACAGTAATTCTTAAAGCAGCACAGATAGTCCTAACTTGAATCTATCTTTCTACTTCCCAGCTATCTTCCTAATAGCTGTTAGCTTACTACTAGCTATCCCCGCTAGTAACTCTGGCCAAACTCAGGCCTTTCTCTCTCTCTAACCCTCTCAAAACAAAACAAGAATCCTAACAGGACTGAATCTCTGTCAGAAATTCTTCAGTAGCCCAGATAAACTTAATCCTAGTTCTATCCTGCTACTACCCAGCTATACTCCTAATAGCTGTCAGTTTGCTTTAGCTACCCTGCTGGCAAACTTCTGGCTAGGCCTTTGCCTTTTTCTTCTAACCCTTGACACCAAACTCCTAAACACCCCTTCTCTTCAAACCCCAAAACCCAACTCTCTATAACTTAAAACGCTCCTTTTCCCACCCTCAGTTTCTCCTAAACTCCGCCCCCTTTTTCTCCACCAATCCCGGCCATTCCCTGCTGGCTTCTTGACTAAGCCATGCCTCCTGCTCTGAACCACACTAAAATGGCCGCCAAGGCTTCACCATGCCCTCATCCTATCTGTATTAAGCTTTCAGGCTTCTCTAGGCCCTCCATCCTGGCTGCTAAAAGGTAAGGGTTCTTTACACACCCAACAGATGGTCATGCCGTCTCTGCTTAGAAACCTCCAGAGGAGACTCTTATGGACTCCCGGTGGGAGCAGACTCCACTACTGGACAGCTCTTCCCATCAGGACGTTCTTTCTCTTGTTTAGGTGAGGCCGGCACACTTTGTCAGTGTGAGTGAGGGGTGGAAGACGAAGAGAAGCTGAGTCAAAACACACACAACACCCCTGTTAGACAGGCACATGAATGCAATCCTCTCATGGCCTCCTCCAACTATGCAATGGGACAGACTGTCTCATAGGCAAGTAGTTGATTCCAATCCCCAAAACACCGCAGAGTCCTGGTCACAGTGTCACAGCCTCTGGCCTTGTAAAGTAGCTCATCTCTTGGAATCAACACTCTTTTATTTATTTATTGACAACATTTCTGCCCTGCCCTCCTCAACCCCCGAGGGGGGACTCAGAGCGGCTAACACTGGCAACAATTCGATGCCGCAATATCACAATAACAACAATATAAAACCATAAACAATAACATTAATTGTACAGTCATATATACTTTCATCCAAAGTCCATGGAGGTTTTAGGCTTGATTTATTTACTACTTATAATTATTTACAGGTCTTCTCTTCATATACTCACAAACACAATGGAAACTTCACACAACAGGGACGGTGGTGGATTACAATTATGGCAAGGCCTCTAACCAATGGCAGATAGCAAGCTGTCCTTCCTGGAAGATCAGACCCAGATGGTGGTGCTGGGGGGGACTCCTGTTTGACTCCCTGGCCGGGGGTGTCCCTCAGGGTTGAAGGTTCTCCCTCAGACTATCTAACATTTACATGAAACCGCTGCGAGAGATCACCCAGAGTCAGAATTACAAATTCAATACAGAGAGGCAGAGATGCAAACTCAAGTCCAAGTCCATAAATCAAGTTGAGGAGTCAGTCCAGAATTTGAAATCAACAATGACTCAGGGTACAACAGAGTGTGGAACAGGATGATAGGAAGATAGACTGAGGGGCAGCACAGCCAAGATCCAGGGCAAGATGTACGATGTTATCTGCTAAAAAGGAACTCTTCCTTTCCAGAACCCTTTTGTCATGAGATCTCAGCTGCTGCTCATTTCAGAAAGCCTTCTCAGATCATCCCAGAAGCCTGCAATGCTTTTCTTGAGGATCAAAAGGTCAGGTTAACCCCTTCCAAACTGGCTGCGATACAGAGAAAAATCCTCCTCTGTGGGAGTCCTGAACACAAAACCAGTCAAGCCAGACCACACAAACTGCTGCACATGACAGACAGAGAGAAAGTCGGCAGCTTTCTTTTTTCTGTCCATCATCCCAATTTCTTGTCTACCTGGGACCCTTGGAAACATACAGGCAGGTCTCCTCTAGCTGTGTGTCAGCTCTTTGATGACTAATGCATTTTCCCTTCTGTGGGTCCTTTGATGGGTATGCAGATTTCCACTCTGAGTGAAGCTCTTTCCACATTCAATGCATTTATATGACTTCTCCCCTGTGTGGATTCTTTGATGGTTACACAGATGTCCACACTCACTAAAGCTCTTTCTACATTCCATGAATTTATGTCGTTTGTCTCCTGTGTGGGTCCTTTGATGGATACGGAGATGTGCACTGCGACTGAAGCTCTTTCCACATTCAATGCATTTATGTGGTTTCCCTCCTGTGTGGATGCTTTGATGGATACGGAGATGTGCACTGCGACTGAAGCTCTTTCCACATTCAATGCATTTATGTGGTTTTTCCCCTGTGTGGATCCTTTCATGGGTATGCAAATTTCCACTCTGACTGAAGCTCTTTCCACATTCATTGCATTTATATGGCTTCTCTCCTGTGTGGATCCTTTGATGGATACGCAGACTTTCACTGTGACTGAAGCTCTTTCCACATTCAATGCATTTATGTGGTTTCTCTCCTGTGTGGATGCTTTGATGGATACGGAGATGTACACTGCGACTGAAGCTCTTTCCACATTCAATGCATTTATGTGGTTTTTCCCCTGTGTGGATCCTTTCATGGGCATGCAGGCTTCCACTCTGACTGAAGCTCTTTCCACATTCAATGCATATATGTGGCTTCTCCCCTGTGTGGGTCCTTTGATGGATACGCAGATGTCCACTCTCACTAAAGCTCTTTCCACATTCCATGCATTTATGTGGTTTGTCTCCTGTGTGGGTCCTTTGATGGATACGGAGATGTGCACTGCGACTGAAGCACTTTCCACATTCAATGCATTTATGTGGTTTTTCCCCTGTGTGGATCCTTTCATGGGTATGCAGATCTCCACTCCGACTGAATCTCTTTCCACATTCCACGCATTTATGTGGTTTCTCTCCTGTGTGCGTCCTTTGATGGGAATGCAGAACTCCACTCTGACTGAAGCTCTTTCCACATTCCACGCATTTATACGGCTTCTCTCCTGTGTGTGTTCGTTGATGTGTAGTAAGAGAACTTCTCGCAGTGAAACATTTCCCACATTCCATACAGTTATGTCGCTTCTCCCCTGTGTGTGATTTTGACAAGGAATGGAGATTTTCCATTCTTTTACATTTATGATTCAAATATTATGCCAGAAGGTCACAGATATGTTCTCCTGATTTCCTCTTCTCAGTCTTTGTATTGCTCTACTGTTTACAGCACAATCCTCCATTTCCTCCTTGAATACACAGCTATGGAGCTTGAAATATAATTTCTCCAACTTATTTCTTGTGAGTGCTGTGTAATTTCATTCCTGACCTAAGCCAAAGGGAAGTGTTCTTCTCAAGGTTCATTCAGAGATTACCTGCCAGAGAAATGAGAGGAAAATCGTATCAGGAGCAGAGCACAGAAATATCTCATTGAACAATAAGAACAATAGCTTGGTGCTGTAGCCAATGCCGGAGAAGAAGGGAGAAAGAGCGGTCCTATTGAGAAGAGCCTTTGCCTGCTGAGAAGTACTTTAACACTTGCCCAACAAAGAGCAAGCCCTGCAAAGAGGGGAGAGTGGCCCACGATTCCCTGTATGGGATTATTTGAACTGCAGTGTGTTCAGAGTGTCATCCAACCTTTGCAAAGGAAGACTTCTAACAATATGGTCAGCGCAGAAAGGGCTCAGGTTGCAAAGCGTTTCCTGCCTGGATCCCACTTCCTCACATCCCAACTCAGAACCTGAGTGACCACCTGTACGGGCAGACCATCCCAAGTGGTCAGTCTTGGGAGAAAAATACTTCATTTCTTCCAACTGAAGCAATTTTTTTCCTGACCTCAGGCAGAACAACTGCAAAGAAAAAAACAAAGCAAACTTCTACACCAAGACCACAAAAATGGAGATAGGGATGCAGAAGCACAGGGTGGAAGGCACTCAGCCTAGCAGCAGGACACGAGAGAAGGGGTACAGAGGAGATGGAAGGATGGACCCCCAGTGCTAAAGATGACGTTTGTGCGATGGCTCAAGGGGTAGGAGGGAAGCCATCGCGTTCACCGCATCCACTACAGGCCCCTCTTCAGCCCTCGGACCCCAATTGGAGGGGTTTCATTGAGGATCACCTGCCAGTTATCACAGGGTCGGTCTCTCTCTCTCTCTCTCWCTCTCTCTCTCTCTCTCTCTGGAAGCTGACTGGCACAACCTGGGGATCACAACCAGACACAGTGAAGACATCTGCCCTTGTGCTGTGCTACTCTGCTGCTGAGTATGCATGCCTGGTGTGGATGTGGCTCTTCATGAGACATGCCGCATTATCATGGGGTTTCTGCGCCTTGCACCACCTGACATACGCCGGGAAGGAGCAGCCAATAGTGAAAGGACCAAGGCAGAGACATCTCCAGCTCATCCCCTGTTTGGATATCAGCCAGCACGTCAACGACTTAAATCTAGAAATAGTTTTCTAAGATCTACAGAGACACTCGCTGGAACACCTCAGCAAGCGAGAGTCCAAAAGTGGCAGGCTCAAACCCAGAACCTCAACCAATGGCTGATACCAAATGAGAGACTCCCCCCTGGGCACACAGAAGACTGGGCGACTTGGAAGGCGCTGAACAGACTGCGCTCTGGCACCACGAGATGCAGAGCCAACCCCAAGAAATGGGGCTACAAAGTGGAATCCACGACATGCGAGTGTGGAGAAGATCAAACGACTGACCACCTGCTGCAATGCACCCTGAGCCCATCTGCCACATGATGCACCATGGAGGACCTCCTTGCGGCAACACCAGAGGCACTCCAAGGGGCCAGATACTGGCCAAAGGACATTTAATCCACTACCAAACTCACATTTTTTTTGTATTTTGTTTGTTTGTTTGCTTTGTTCTGTTAGAAATGTCATATAATTGACTGGTTCGCCCGACACGACAAATAAAATCCAGATCAAGCTGGCTTTCTGTCAGGCAGGACATGGGCAGATTCCACATGGAGAGCATGACGTCTAAMGCCTCAGAGTCAGTCTCTTGGGTGGAGGGGGGGGTCTTCCTTTCCCCTTCCCTCRCTGGTCTGAATCKAGGKCCCTCCCCCTCCTCTTCCCCCTCCAAGAGGATCATTGGGGCCTCCTTTGGGGCCCCTCCCTCTTCCCTCCCACATGCCCCCTTCACGGCCCCCTCCTCAATGGGGGAGGAACAGAASCTGGYTCTTCAGATGGGGAGAAAGGCTGGTGTTTGGAAGGGCTGCCCATCCCCGGGTCCCTCTGCGCTCCCTTCTTCGCTCTTCTTCCGGGGGGATGAATCCAGCCCGCCCATCCCTGCCATTCCTTCGTTCATCAGAGCCAGAGAGGGGTCCCTGGCCCACARTCACATTGAGGCATCAACACAGGAAGCGAACAGACTTCTGGGAAATGTAGTTWAGGGTGGAGCCTTTTGCATTCTCTTCCACAAACTACATTTCCCAGAATCCTCCAGACTGCCTTGTGCCACCTCCTACTCCTCCCTAAAAGTCGTGCTGGGGGAAAACCCGTGTTCGTTCTCTAAAGGGATTGAGAGATAYAAAGGGATTGTTGGGGGTTGAATCAACTCTGTGAGGAAAGCKAAGCTGAGAGAGGCAGGAACTCCAAAGTTTCCCAACAGGTTTTCTATTATTGCTGTTGTTGTTGTTGTTGTTGTTTCAAAGACTGAATGAGTCTCCTTCGGGGTGAGAAGACAGGCTATAAATGTCATAAATAAATGAATGTGCATCTGTTGGAGTGGTTTGAGTGTGCTTTTCCTTCCTGGCAGAAGGGGGTTGGACTGCATGGCCTCTGGGGTCTTCCAATGAAATAGTATTGTTAAGTTTATGTTGGTTAAAATTCCCCAAAATCAGTGAAGGAAATGAACGTTCTCAAACTTGGGGGAGGGGCTAACAGTGGTCAATGTGCCCTCCCACTGTAGCAAGTTTCATCCCGACAGCTCAAAAAAGGAGGGAGAAAGGAGCTCCGGAAGCTCCTCCCCCTTGCGCAATTACATAACGAGAACATGACTTATCCAGAACGCAGCCCAGCTTGACCCCACGTGTGGCACCAGTTCTGCAAGTCAGCTGGCCTTTCTCAGAGCATCCAATTAATAGTGCCAACGATAAGCTGGATCAACTAAATGCCATTTTGAAGAGATCTCTAGTGGCCCCCAAAGGAGGACAATGGAAACTGGGAAAGCAGTATGAGAAGGGGGGGCCAAACAGGAAGGAAAAATGGAAGGTAAACAAAGGGTCACGAAGAAGGAATCCAGAGGGAACCAGGACGGAATGGACGCCAGGCAGAAGTCCAGCTGGAACAAGAGAGGCCTCCAGTCAAGACGCGAGAGGCCTGCCATTTCCCGCCCTGAAAGAGGGGACCGGTCAGTCCATTCAGGAGAATCTCTCGCTCAGCTCTGGGCTTCTCACTCACCGGCCTGAGAGAGGTCGGGAAAAGGACCAGATCTGATTGGATGAGGGGAAGGTTGGGCTTGAATTACTCCGTCCACTGACCAAGGACCAAAACTGAATAGAGCTGTTTGTTGTTGTTGTTGTTGCCGTATCTTCCCAAAGGGACTCAAAGCGGCTTGACATGAAAGCATTAGTATGCCATTTAAAATATAGAAATATACAAACATCAAAACAGAATTAGACACAAACATCACAGGTAACATCCACCAAAGATATCCAAGCACCACAACAGCCCCCGACTTGATCTTCAAAACCTCCATCTTCAAAAGCCTGTCTGAATGAAAAGGTTTAAGCCAGAAGGACAACAGGGAGGGAGGGGGGGGGAGGGGGGGGGCCATTCTGGCTTCCCAGGGCAGAGAATTCGAGCTGCGTGTCTCAGGCAACGTCCACACGCCCTGTCTCTCAGGATCTGATCCTGGGTTATTTGGCTGCGCAGACTCACAGAATCCAGTTCAAGGCAGAGGATGTGGGGTCAGATCCTGGGAGAGAGGGAAGTGCGGATCCAGGCCGAGGCTTCAGAATTCCAAGCTGGGCAAAGCCAGTCCCGTGAGCCTCGGTTCCAGCGACATGGCTCCCAATGTTTCCCTTGAAGAGCGTGGAAGGCCAGCCTCTCCCTGTCTCCTATCTGTGGGCACACCGGGCGGGCCTCACTCTTCACCCTGGCCCCCAAATTGGGGGAAGGGGCTCCCTCCCTCCCCCCCAACCAGCCTCCCTCCTTGGGTCCACCCCCCCCCCCCTTGAAGGGTCAGTTTTGGGCAGGAAAGGAAGGAGGGGAGGGAGGGGGGCTCCAAGGGGGAGGAATGAAGGCCTGCCGAGTGAGTGCCTGCCTGAGGGAGGGAGGGAGGGAGGGAGGGGGCCCCTTCGGCACTGCCCTCTGGCCCCCATGATGACCGCAGGGCACCAACTGCTGCTCTGGGCCAGAGTGAAGAGAGAGGGGCCAGGAAGACTGTCCCACCTTGTCTCCTGTGGTATGCGAATAATATAATATAATGTAATATATTGTGTGAGTGTGAGTGTGTGTGTGTGTGTGTGTGTGTGTATATATATATATATTGTAATATTATAATGTAATACAATGTAATCCTAATAATATAATATAATATATTGTGTATACATATATTTATAATATCATAATGTAATATAGTATAATTCTAATAATATAATATATTGTAATATATTGTGCATACATGTAATATTTATGACATTACAATGTAATACAATATAATCCTAATAATAGTATGATATTATAAACATATATTTTATAGGACATGTAATATTACTAATAATATTACAATACAATGGTCTAGTACAATAGAGTAATACATAATACTGATATTGTACTATGGGCATAATATAATATAATGTGACATATTGTGTATACATATAATATTTATAACATTATAATGTAATACAACATAATTCTAGTATTAATAATAATATGCTATACATATATATATTATAGGACATGTAGTATTTCTAATAATATTACCATACAATGGTATAGTACAATAGAGTCATATATAATGCAAATAATATAATATATTGTATGTAAATGCATCTTGTGAGCGGCTCTGAGTCCCTTTCGGGGTGAGAAGCGCAGCATAGAGATGTCGTAAATGAATAGATGGTGAGACATAGAGTTGGAAGAGACTGCAAAGGTCACCCAGCCCAGGAAGGAGGAGGACACTGCAGAAGCCCTCCCGACAGATGCCCACCCAGCCTCTGCTGAGAGCCCTCCCGCCGCTTGACCCCCAGGAAAGCCTCCCCAGTGTCCAGGGTGGTCACCCCCTTCTGCCAAGCAGGAAGGCACCACCCGATCCCTCCTCGCAGATGGCCATCCAGCCTCGGCTCAAAACCTCCAGAGAAGGAAGGAAGGAAGGAAGGAAGGAAGGAAGGAAGGAAGGAAGGAAGGAAGGAAGGAGAGGGAGGGAGGGAGCTCCTCCAAACGCCCAGGCAGTCTGGGGGGACCCCAAAGGCCATCCATCCTGACCCCACCAGGCACAGAGAGAGAGAGAGAAAGGGCGGATGATCAAGGTGGTAAACAAAGGAAGAGAGAGAGAGAAGGATGGCCCGCTCTGGAGTGGGGAAGGCGAGCCTCCCTTGCCACAGGAGGGCCCAGGCCGAGGAGGAGGAGGCCGCTCTCGCTCGCTCGCTCGCAGCCTGGGTTCCCTCCTCCTCCTCCTCCTCCTCGGGGGGGGGGCAGCCTGGAAGGGGGAAAGGGAGAGGCGGGCTCGGAGGCCGCCCCCCAAGAAGGCCCGCCTGCCTGCCTGCCTGCCTGCCTGAGAGCAGAGGCCACTCCCTCACCCGCACTCGAAGGGCTCTCCTCACGGGGAAAGGCCTCCTCGCCCGAGCCTCCCTCGCCTCTCTAGGACACGGAGGCCGCCCCTCTCGCTGGGCTTCCGCCAAGACCAAACATGGCTGCCGCGCGGGGGCTGGGCGCCCAGAGAGAGGCGGGGCTTCTTGGCGGCGCTGGCCAGTCAGGAGCAAGAGCGCCCCCTTCCTTCCTTCTCTTCGGAAGGCTCAGCACCCGCCCGCCAATAGGAATTCGCCTCCCTCTCCGGCGTCACCGGTCTCCGGGCAGAAACTCCTCCTTCCTTCCTTCCTTCCTTCTTCTGCCACTCCTGAAGAGAATTCCCGGGATGCGCCAATGGGAATGGGCCTCCGCTGGCCGCGTCACCAGTCTCCAGGCAGACCCGGCCTCCACCCTTGGCTCCCTGCCTGCCTGTGGGGTTGGCCTCCTCCTGTCCTTGGGTGTTGTGCTGCTGCTGCTGCTGCTGCTGCCCGTGGTGTTTGGGCTGGGCCTCATCATGCCAGCCCCTCCCAGTCCCCAGGGGAGAGGGGGTGGCAGCAGGGGAGGAAGAAAGGGGATCATCATCATTAGTATCCTCATATGATGATTATTATTATGATTCTCTGTCCTGCTCCCCTGCAGTCTCTCTCTCTCTCTGTCTGTCTCAGAAATATTAAACACCAACTAGGGAGACTTAATGACAAAAAGGCAAGCCAAAAAGGCAAGCCAAGCAGTTTGATATGAGCAGCTCTCAGTGTGAGAAGGCCTCAGTGTGAGAGAAGCCCCAGGCGGAAGGCCTCTGCTGTGAAGCTCCTGTGTCAGTTTGTTGTGTGAGAGGAGCCTCTGTGGGAGCAAAGCTGTTGATCTGCAAGAAGAAGCCCAGGAATAGCCTGTTAGACCAGGAAGGAAGGGGAAGTTCTGGATATGGGGGGGGGGAGGGAAGCCCAAGGAAAGGGTCCCAGGCCCTCCTGAGGGCAGGAAAGGCTGATCCCCACCTCCCTCAGAAGCAGGAGAAGAGGAAATCTCTTTGGAGGGGAGAGGGGGGGTCCCTTGGAAGGGAAAAAAGGGCAGCCCCCCCCCCAATATTCCCCAGAGGAGAAGGGAAGGCGCCTTTCCCATGAGGTATCTCAAACTGAACTGACACAGCCCTCCCCCCTCACTAATACCATCCTTTGACCACAAACCAGCCTCAGTTATGGTACACCTTCTCATCCCATGACTACCAAACCCAAACCACAACCCTGGCCCTCCCTCCCTCCCTGCCTGTTGGGTTGGGCTTCTGTTCTGCTCCCCTTCCGTCTCACTCAAAAGAGACAAAGACCCCCCAGTCTTTCTAGAGACGAGTCAAGGGCTTCTTCTCCCTGATCACCATCACACCCTGAGTCCCCCACTGGGGTGAGAAGGGCGGGGTATAAATGTAGTATAACAATAATAATAATTTGTCCCTCTCCACGGCTTCACGCATCTCCATCAGCCACTCTTCTTCCTTGCGTCAGAATAGCAGGTTCTTTCCATAGCTGGGCATGGGGGGGGGGGGCTGCAATCACCCAACCGGGGAGTCGCCTTCCATGCTTCTCGCCTAGTTCATCACGCAGCATCCCCAGCTAGGAAAACCCTGATCCTGTTGTGATTCTTTCCCATTTCATCTCTTTCATCCCCGATTTTTCTGGGCTCTTTGCAAGACCACAACGTATGATTTATTTGTTTCATGTGCAAACCTTTCATAAATAAGTATAACACTGATAAAATTGAGAAAGCACAAGCAACTAAACAGTTTGAGACCAAAAACAGGCAACAGCAACTGCATTGTCTGTAGCCCTGAACCCTTCTTCCTCTGTGCATGAGGCTGGGCCCTGTGGACAAGCACACAGATGCGGAGTTGCTTGTTCTGCTCCACGGTCGCACCCGGTGGAGGATTCTTCTGGGTTGTTCCATTTTGCCAGGTTGCCTTTTGACCTGCCCACTCCACTTCTAGGGGGTGAAATGCCCCAACATTCTCCTCGCATTTCCACCGTTTCCTAGAACTTCCCCTGGACGTCGGAGAAAGCCTCTCTGGCACCAAGTACCACTGAGACATCATTGCATTAAAAATACTTCCAATCATCCTCCAAAGGAGATGTCAAACTCTTTCTCCAAACCTCCTCCTTCAGTTCCAACTGAATTTGTGTTCCTCGTATATCCGTCTGCCCGTTCAACCCTCCCACACAACGGGTGCTTCATTGGAAGAGAGATCCAGTCCTGCTGCCTCAATGGGAAGGACCAGATGGCGTGGTTTGGAGTGAAAGGAGAAGAAGAGATGGTGTCTGAGTGTTAGAAGGAATTACTTGGTCGTGAGGGTGAGTTTATGCTTTTAACTGTTATAATTGCTGTTTTGTATTTTATTATGTGGCATTGAATTGTTGCCAATTGGAAGCCGCCCTGAGTCCCCCCCCCCCCGAGGTTGAGAAGGGCGGGGTAAAAGTGTTCAAAATAAATAACCAGGGCAACGAGGAGACTAAAGTAGTGGTGGGTGGAGCTGAGTTTTGACTTTTTAAATGTTTTTACTGGAGGCACTTTTTTGAAGGAGGAACTCATTATGACCCCACCCGTACCTTGGGAAGTCTGACTTGGCCACGGTGGTACACGCTCTGGTCACATCCCGCCTTGACTACTGCAACGCTCTCTACGTGGGGCTGCCCTTGAAGACGGCCCGGAAGCTTCAGCTAGTCCAGCACGCGGCAGCCATGTTACTAACAGGAGCAGGACGCAGGGAGCACACAACGCCCTTGTTGTTCCAGCTCCACTGGCTGCCGATCTGCTACCGGGCCCAATTTAAGGTGCTGGTGTTGGCCTACAAAGCCCTAAACGGTTCCGGCCCAAAATACCTTTCTCGACCGCATCTCGGCCTATGAGCCCACGAGGACCTTGAGATCGTCTGGGGAGGCCCTTCTCTCGATCCCGCCTGCCTCACAGGCACGTCTGGCGGGGACGAGAGATAGGGCCTTCTCGGTGGTGGCCCCCCGGCTGTGGAACACCCTCCCTGTAGACATCAGACAGGCGCCCTCCCTTATGTCATTCCGCAAGAGCCTAAAGACATGGTTATTTGAGAAGGCGTTTAACTAAGTGCTACGACAATTGGCAATGACGACTGGAACGGAATACGGATTACGAGATTGGTTTACGATTCTATGATGAGACGGCGCGGATGATTTAGTGTAGTTATATTATTGTTATACATTGATAGTTATACTGTTATTTCTCTGTGTTTTGCCTTATTGTAAACTGTTTTTACATGTTGTACACCGCCGTGAGTCGCCCTAGGGCTGAGAACGGCGGTCAACAAATGAAGTAAATAAATAAATAAATAAATAAACCAGGATCCTTTCTTCCAATATCTTCAGCCACCTTCTTCTGAGGTAAATCTTCTTCTCAATAAATGGACATGAGTCTTGATTATAAAGAACTGATCAAGGAGATAGTAAGGAGACCAGTAAGGAGATGGAGGTTAAATGAGAACCTAATAAAAACACAAGAGGACATTAATAAATATAAGAAAAGATCACGTGAATTTTTCGAAACAAATGACACAAATGAGGTAAAGATACAAACGGTTTGGGACGCATACAAAGCCGTGATGAGAGGTTTATTAATCCAACACAACACAATAAGAAACAAGCTCAAAAATCAAAAAATAACTAATGTGGAGAATGAAATATACAAAAAAGAAACCGAGCTGAAAAAAGATCCAGGGAAACAAGAACTCGTTAACGAATTGACTCTTCTTAAGAAAGAAAAACACAGTTTGGAGATAGAAAAAATGGCAAAACATTTAAAATATCTTAAACAAACATCTTTTGAAAACGCTAATAAAATAGGACGATGGTTAGCAAGAAAATTGAGGAAGAAGAAAAACGAGCTAGGTATAAATAAAATTAATATTAATGGGCAGATAATAACTAAAGAAAAAGATATTCTGGAGGCATTTCAAGGATTTTATCAAAAACTGTTCAAAGAAGACAACACCGACATAGAAAAAATCGTGAAATATTTAAGTGATCAGAAATTGGAAAAAATCTCAGAAGCACAGAGAGAAAAACTAAATAAACCAATCACTCAAACAGAAATTAAGAAGGCAATCAACAATCTGAAAAATAACAAAGCACCAGGGCCGGACGGCTTCTCCGCCGCATATTATAAAGTAACACAAGAAGAAATCTCACCCATATTACAAAAAATTATGAACAAAGTCCTTACTGACCGGGAAATTCCAGAATCATGGAAAGTGGCGGATATCACATTGATCCATAAAGAAGGAACAGATGCAGGTGAAATTAAAAATTACCGCCCAATCTCATTGTTAAACATAGACTACAAAATTTTTGCGAGTATCATGGCGGACAGATTCAAAGAATTTTTAGTAGATTGGATCGGAGAAGACCAAAACGGCTTTCTGCCTAGGAGAAATATTAAAGATAACGTTAGAATAATTATAGATTCCTTAGAATACTATGAATCCCACCATCAAAAAGAGGTAGCATTATTGGCGATAGATGCTGAGAAAGCGTTTGACAATATGAAGTGGGACTTTGTCAAATCGCTATGCCAAGAAGTAGATATTGGATTTCACTTTCAAAATGCAATTGAAACGATCCTGGATGAACAAAAAGCCAAATTATGGATCAATGGCACTAATACGGAAGAAATAAAGATAGAAAAAGGTGCGAGGCAGGGATGTCCACTGTCTCCCCTGATCTTTATCTTTGCGTTAGAAATATTGTTGAGAAGTATCAGAGAAGATAAAGCCTTGAGAGGTCTAAAAATAGATAAACAAGAGTATAAGATCAGGGCCTATGCGGACAACTTGATAGCTATAATTGAGAACCCCAGAGACAATATTGAGAGATGGATTGACAAACTGGAAAGATACGGAGAAGTGGCAGGTTTTAAAATAAACAAGACAAAAACAATGATGCTGACTAAAAATATCCCCTCAGAGAAACAGAAAGAGCTCCAATATAAATCTGGAATTAAAATAGCAACTAAGATTAAATATTTAGGAGTGTGGATAGCAGCAAGGAACCTCCATCTCCTGGAAAATAATTACTTAAGTAAGTGGAAGGAAATCAAAAAGGAATTGGAAAGTTGGGAAAGATTAAACCTATCGTTGCTAGGAAGGATAGCGGCAGTGAAGATGAATATTTTGCCTAAGATGTTATTTCTTTTTCAAAATTTACCTATAATTAGAAACTATAAATATTTTAAAAATTGGACTAAAGACATCTCAAAATTTGTTTGGAAGAAGAAACAACCAAGAATTAAATTTGTAACAATGATTACTCCAAAGAACAAAGGCGGTTTTGGCCTTCCAGATATGAAATTATATTATGAGGCAGCGGCATTAACTTGGATAAAGGACTGGACTAC